GTGATGAATGGTATCGACAGATCAGCCACTGGTGACAAACAATACTCAGGAGAGGTGTTGTTTGTGAGCGAAAAGTACGGCCCGATTACTGCCAACACTTACAATCAGATGAAACAGTGATCAAACATTGAATCACATCCCAAATAATGAATGATTTGCACCGCAATTGTGGCAACAGTTTTGAAACAATTTATTTATAGAAATAAAGTACCGAAAAAAAGTTTTCAAACTTTTATTAACTTTTTTTTACTATTCACTAAACGCTAAAACAATTTCTATGTAACCAATGAATCCATAATTGTACGCTAACTATTTAATTGCCCCTTAATAACAGTCATTTTACTTCACGGCATTACATTTGACACATCAGAGACAAACTCAAAGTGAGGTCTGAATAGACACTACAACATGGGATGAGGAGAGAGAGGGAGAGAGTGAGTTGTGCTGTGTGTGAGAGAGTGTATGAGAGAGTATATGCGGGAGTGAGTGAGAGGGCGGATGTGCGGCACCGGTATTACTGAAAGGCTATAATACAAGTGACAAACGGAGTGTAGAGATGGCGCCACACATGAGAGTACGAGTAAATGCATTGAACAGTACAGCGATGTATGGGTGGAGTGTTGTGTGGCATAAGTGGCGCCCCGTTGTGGGCGTCTTCAGCGCTGAACGTATGCCGCGAGCAGTGGTTTGTGTGACACAAAGGAGTCAATCAATGCCTCGCTATTTGATTGTATTGTTTACTGTTTTAGTCGCACCACTCATACATGAAACTCATTATTTAGTTAAACACCCATTGAATTAACGTTACAATCAATTTGGCAATTAGTGTATTGACAACTGTATTGATTACGTGTTGATTATAGCGAGTGTTGACTGTATTGTCGGATAAGTGTATGTGTTTTGTAGTGTTTTGTGTTCACTGTTTTGGGAGTTGACTATAACTGCAATACAAATGTAATAACAAATAGTAATTAATTATTTAGTAATTAATATTGAATATTGAATTAATTGGTATTATTTGTGTTGTTTTTGAATATCCATTACTATTATTATTGAATTTATAATTATTATTAAATCTTGATATTAATTAATATTTACTTGAATTGATTGGTTATATGTTTTATCGGTTATAATGAATAACTAAATTATAACTATTATTAATTGATTATAATATGATTTAATTGAATATTAATTGAAAGCAATTTAAATTGTCGTTTGAAAAGGAGGTGTAATAATAATAAGGAGTTTTAATTATTACTATTAATTATAATTATTACACCAAATAAGGAGTTTATTAATTATTATTATTTAATAACTATTATTAATTGATTATTATTTTAATATTAATTATGATTTTAATAATAATATTATAATTATTACAAAGAAATGAGAAATTAATTGATTTCTAATAATAATGGGTTTAATATTTGTCTTTAATTTTGTATTTATTATAGTATTTAAAAGTAGAAAAACAATTGACATTAAGTTTAATAAATCACTGCCCAAGAAGTCACTCACAACGGATCCCAAGACTATTGGCTTGACTTGAAGTCAATTTAATAAATAATAAGTATTTAATAATCACTTATTGACCGAAGATTTAATAACTGAAGACAAGAACAACTGATCCGTTGATCACCGCTCGAAGACATCGACTGAAGAGTTCATAACAACTATAATAACAAGAATAACACCGAAGATAACAATCGGAAGACATTGTCCGTCGATTTGATTGAATACCCGTTTGTATCGCATATAATGACTGATCACATGAGGGATCACATGAGAGACGTTAGGGATATCCGAGACGTGCGGGACGTGAGAGATATGCGAGACATGCGTGACGTACGCGATGTGCGGGACGTGAGAGACATTCAGATGAACGACATTCGCGGCGACGACTACTCACTGGAGGAGAAGATAGTGACCAGTGTTTGGGTTCACGACAGAGGGCTCACCGGGAAGTCGATCGATGAGCTCCGGATGGACTTCGAGCAGAGGTTCAATAAGAAAGCGCCGAAACACGACTCGATGATTGGTTGGGAGCGCTCGGCGTTCACCACCGGCTCAGTGCTGGAACACGTGCCCAACATCGCGGCCCAAACGCGGGAACAACAGCAACACCACAACCGCATGCATATGGAGTCGGGCTCTATGTCCTCATCGATGTCGCGCTCGTCGACGGGTCGCGGGGGTCGGGCGGGCAGTGGGGGCGGCGGTGGCGGCGACAGTGTCAGCAAACAACAGCAACAGCAGCAACAACAACAACAGTCGGCCTCATCCTATCACCCGTCGCTCTACAAGACGGAGCTGTGCCGCCAGTACTACGAGTACGGGTACTGCGATTACGGCGAGCGGTGTCTCTTCGCGCACGGAAAGTACGAACTCAAACGCATTCCCAACTATAAGACCAAACTGTGCGCCTCGTATCACAGCTCCGGCTACTGTTCGTTCGGCTCGCGCTGTGCTTTCATCCATAAGAAACACGAGGCCAGAGAGGGCTCCGAAGGGCCCACTAAAGTGAGGTCCAGCCGATCCATACGACCCAATCGGCGCACAGAACTCTCCCGCAAGAAATAGCTCTACGCGTACGGCAGGGGTGGGCACAAGCGCTCTGGCCCTCTGTCTCTCCCCCATCACATGTTATTGTCGTGTGCTTTATAATTGTGTCAATGAATTTACACCACGTTTTAGTTTTTATTTTTTTGTCATTTGATTTCAAACATATAAACACTTAATCCACGAAAAAATTAACTATTTTTTGCTCTCATTTTATCGTTTTTTGTAATGCTTTTTTTTTGTCTCTTTATTTGATTACAATTTGAGGTTTAATTTAGACGTCGATTACATTTGAGACACTTATTCACAAATTATTATTATTATAATTATATAATTAATGTATGAATTAATTAAATAGAAAATACATTTGAGACAAATCTCGAACTCTATCTGTCATTCATATGATTAGCGATAATAATGTCTTGAATTTATCTATTTTTGTGTAATCAATGGTTTTAATAGTGTTTTTCTCTCTTCAATATGAAGTCTCATATGATTTGATCGATTGGTTGTCATTAAATAAATGCTTTGAAATACTTATTTAGATTTACATTTCATTTTAATCATACTTTTAAAAAACTTTATATTTATATGTCGTTTAAAAAACATTTAATTAATTATAAAACTAATGTAAAATGATTTTTCATTGTATTAATTGAACAAACAGTGAGTTATTATTGCATTTAAAAATATATAAAACTCAATAATAATAATAACGAATGATTAATAAAAATGATAATAAGATTGTAATAATTAATAAAACTGACTTAAAAATAATACATTAGATTAAAAAACATTGCAAAACTTGTTTTAAAAATCACTTGTTATTTGTTATAATTAGTTTCGATTACACATTAAGATTGGGCTAAAACTGGCGACAAAGCGTTCGCTGGATTTACTGATCACTGGATCACTTAATCCGAAGACATGGACGCAAATGGCCGTCAATTGGCCTTTGATTTGGTTTTGTTTAGTAGTCGTTGTCTTCGATAAGACTTGATGTAGAAGTTGGCGAACATGAGGAAGAATATGGGCCCCTGAGAGACAGGCATTACTCGATAGACTAGCGGATAGTCGGTGTGATAGACGTTGAGGAGTAGGCCGTAGAGGCCAATGATGGCGAACTGACACAACTGGGTTTGAGTGATGTAACGCTTCCACCAGAGGTACGGCTGCACTGACGGCCCGAACGCCGACAGAGCGTAATAGGAGTACATCAAGACGTGACAGAAACAGTTCAACAGCGCAAACAGGCCTAACACTGGCATCACTGGCGAGACCTAATCGTCGCAAACAATTACAAAAGCGGTATTAGTTATGCGTTTAGTAATGAGTCAAACAGTGGTCAACACTAACCCATGCGCTGATCCAACCGATGATGGGAACCGACACGTGATGGTAGATGTGAAGGACAGTGATCTGATTGGTCTTCTTTCGGGCCACGAAGAACAACGTGTCGATAAAGTCGACAAATTTAGTGATGAGATAGTAGTGAAACATCCGTACGATTCTCATTGTGGCCGCACTTCTGTCCCGATTGTCGGGAAACTTGAAGTCCGCCAGACGTGAGCCGAAGTCCAACCACTGGACCGACTCGTAGAGGAAGAATAAGTTGATGGCAACCATCACAACGTTGTATAACAACATCAGTCCTCTCAGTTCAAAGGGGTTCCGGTGTTTCATCCAATTGGGACCCAATTTAGTGACGATCACGAAGTATGTCAACAGAATGGCCATCAGATTCCACGGCCCGCCAGACATGAGCGGCAATGAGTTAGTCCGCGGGTCACACATATCGTCCCAAAACTGATACATATAGTAGTGATAGCCGTCACCACTCCTCACATCCGCAGCACTTCCACTCATATTTGTCTTCAGCGCACACATGATATCCGTTTTACCACCAAATCAGCACTAAATCTGTAAATACAAAACAACCAAGAGTAATTAGTCATTTATTATCAAATATCAATGAATCAAACTTTTAATTACTTATTGTTATCTAATTTGTAATGTTTTCGGTGTTAAATACATTAGTCGTGTGAATATTGGACTCAAATGTGTTTCAATGAGTGAAACAACAAAAAAAGTTTTGCGAAACAATTAATTTATGATTAAAACTTCAAATAATTGTTTATGTTTTAGGTTTTGAACACATAATCAATGGCTTTACAGTTGTTTTTGATGCACTCAATCAACACCTCCTTTACTGTCACTAACTTTTTATGGCTTTTTAAACCAATTCATTGAATGCATAAAAAACTATTACAATTGGTATTCAATTATTGGTATTTTTAGAAAACATTACAATTTTGCCTGAAGTTGTCGTAACAATAGGTTTTGGTTATGAAACATACCGTTTGTGTGTTTACATCGGTTTTAATGTTTTCAATATTTTGTTTTTATATTGAAATTTTTTCGTTTAAACTATCATTTGATTTTATGAACAATTTAGTATTATGATTATTATAAATATTAAAGTAATGTTAAGTTTGTTACTGTATTATAATTTATAAATGTAATTTATTTAATAAAATGATCGCATTGTAAATAGACATTATCAATTTACAATTGGTTTTGTAAATTATTGTAAAATATAAATATTTTAAAACTTTTTTACAAAAAATTGTGTAACTTATATATTAAATAATATTTAAATAAAAAATGTTTTCTGTGTGAAAAATAATCGATATTTTGATGAAATATTTTCATTTCTAATTTTATAGTTACTTGAAAATTCATAAAACTATTTATGTAATCATTTAAAACAAATCATAACCACATCTCTAAATACATTTGAATTACAAAATAATTTTACAAATCGATTAGGATTTTACTCTTTCTATAGATTTTCAATGTTTAGCAAAATGTTTTGTAATACAAAAACTTTTGCATTTAATGTTAAATAAGTTTCACAAATTCAGACACTGATTGTTACGTTTCATAAGTTATGTATTACATAAAACTTGTAAATTTAATATTCCGCACGTTTACAATGATTTTTATAATAAATTATTTACTTATAAAAATTATTTACTTATAATCACGTAAATTATAATTAAAATATGAAAATAAAAACAATAAATAAATATATAAAATATAATAAATACTCACTTAAATATGTTGAAGTTATTTCTAATACATTACAAATCATTAAAATTTGAGCAAAAATATAATTTAATTCAATTGTAATGTATTTAATGTTTAGGCAATGAAGTGATGTATTAAATGAAGATTAAATTGATTTGCGCACAAAATATTCAGTTCAAGTTTAACATAGATTTTATAATAAAATGATTAAACAAATTAATTTTAAACACAATCCAAAATAACAAAAAAATTTGCTGAGATTTCTATTACTTGTTATATCACTAAATAATCACAGTATGAATTAAATGAACACAAGTTCACAAATTTTAAAAACAATTTCACTGAAAAAAATCCAATTATTATTCAATTAAAAAATAATATTTTAAGTCTCAGTTTAAATATCGGATGAAATACTTTTTGGAAAAACTATTTCACTAAAAATACTTCAAAAATTAACTAAAACCGATAATTGTATTCAAAACACACCATATATTAGGTGTTTGTATGTCTACCAAGACGTAAAAGTTAAAGGGATGTAAATTCAATGCCATATAAACGCCGCACAAAATGATAAATCAAATAACAATGGTATGAATGTTAAGGGAATCGATATAATAGATAAATAAATGGCCATAAAGTCGAAGAGATTTTTTGTTTGTGTTAACACAACACACAAAAAAATAGCAAAACTTTTTTATTCAAATAGAAAATTATTAGATATTTAATACTTTTTGATAATAATTTTCTCCTTTTTTTCTGTGGCAAACAATTTCAATGACAAGGAAGTCGATAATTGACTTAAAAATATACGTGAATTAAAACATTAATAGGTTGTGGAAAACGGCGACGAAAATAAAAATGATAATTTTGTATAATTTTGTTGTGTATGTAATAGTTTTCATTACAGCAAAACCAATGCTTCACTTGATATACGGTATTAACGAGAAAAACGAGACAATATTTAAGGCAATCTTAAGGTTAGGCTTAATCGACAATAGGATAGACGGATAGACCGGACCGACCGGTGCTTTACGGACTGTGAATAGCAATACAGTCCTGTTATATGACTTTTAATTGACTTTTATTTAAATTTCATTACAAATAAAAAGGCTTTTATTATCTCATTATACACTTATTTATAAACACTTGTAATGCAATTATTATTATTATAAATTTTATTATTGTTATTAATGAAACACAATTGCGTTTAAGGAATTCAATTGATAATTAAAAATAGCTAACAATTTGTCGTACAAAACAATTCACATGTTGTTTGAATACAATGTATACGGATTTGAGTGAAATAATACACTTATATTCAGAAAATGTTTCAATAAATGGGTTATACTATTGAAATGGGTATAACTTATACTAAACTAAACACTAATGAAAAACACATTGGTTTAGAAATACAGAGAAAACTCCTGTTTCTGTGTTTTTCATGAAATGAATGAAAGTTTTTGGAAATTTTTCGCTCACTTTTAACAGAAAGTCATTTCAAAAGAAAAGCAAATTTCTCTCCCATTTTATTGCCTTTTTTGCAGTCAATCTCAACATTAAGATTATAAAACATTTAACATTTATGTACTTTTCATTTTTTGATGTATGCATTCAAGTCTCAAAAACTTTTTCAGCCTGATTATTAATCAATTCATTATAATCTGTATTAAACTTCATTGATCCCAATGCTGGTGACCCAGTGCGTATTTTGTGCCTGATACATCCACTCTGCATGCTAATTATTTCCGTATAGAAATTGTATGCAAAAAAATGTATAGTAAAGTAGTTAATGAAAAGTAAACCTTATCTCACTATTTAAATCACTATTTGTTATCTTTAAAAAGTAAAATATGGTATTAATATTTGCCATTAAAAGCTATGTTTGTTTTGCAATTTTGCAAATGCTGCTTAAGTCACAATATTTACTGTATTATATGAATGACATTTAATTCATATATTTTTTTATTAACATTGTTTTTCTTCTCATTTGATCTCTGGTGACCTTTCAATGCAAACATTTTTTTAACAGTAATTTTACACTTTTTTCTCTTGGTTTACATAATGTGTTGGAAATTATTTTTGTCATATATTTCTGTCGCTGCGAATAAATCAGTTGTTTGTTTAAAGCGAGCAATAAATGAAAAAAAATTTAATTTAAGATTAATTTATAGTTTTATTGTATTTTCTCAAAAAAGTTTATATGATATTTGTTTAGTATTGTCGCGAAAAATGTGAATAAATATCCATTTTTCAACGGGAAAGACGTTTTGGGTATTTCTGATCCTATGTTTAGACATAATTTGGGTTTAATTACATTCATAACAATTATTTATTACATTTACATAACTTAAAGTATATTTAGTTTTTTATTATTTTGACAATAAAACATATTAATACATTGTTCTAAATTTAAATTAATTATAACCATCATATGTTAGTTACAGTGAATGTGTGACCAAAACAAATTCAATTACAATTAATGTCAAAAAATTATGTAAAATTTTCTAAAATTTATTAAAAGTTAGATAAATGATAGACAGTTAGTGTCAGTACGTGATAAGCATGACTAGAAAAATACAATGTAATCAATAGATATTGATTTAAACACAATCTTATGTTAAATCAATAGTTAATAGAGAGAAAACTCGTTGGAAAACATCAAAAATACAGACAATTATTTCAAATACAAAATCTTATCATTAAATAAGTAAAAATTCAAAAACATGTTTCAATTACAAAATTAACATTTATTAACGAATTTACAAATATTTTTACAAATTAATGACTCGTATAATACATTTGACAATAGAGTTAATGGAGATATCGGTATATCAGTCGAAGAAAGAGAGAAAACAAAGTAATTTACAAAATAAAAAGGATTTTATAAAATCACAATAAAATCTCATTTAAAAAATTCAATTAAAAACTAATTGTTATATTAAAACAACAGAAATTAAAACACCAAAACTGGGGTTTGAGTTGATTTCAGTCCACTTTTTTCACTCTCGTATAGCAATTGAGATAGAATTGTGCGAACATTACTAGAAATAGCGGCGGTTGGGCTATAATTGGAGGGGGAATGGGAGGGGTAGGGGTAGGCATGAAATTAATTAATTAAATTTAACAATTCATTGTTTCAAATAATGGCTATTTATAAACACATTAAACACAATTCAATAATCACATAAATTAATCATTAAATTATCAGTAAATAATCAAACAATAGCTGTTAGTATCAAACAGTTGTAATAACACAACATTAAACATGTGTTAAAAACTTAATTAAAAAACTAAAAACTTTTCAAAAACAATTATCATTATAATTATTGAATTGTGCGATAATTACGTGATTTATAAACAAATAATGATGATAACAAAAACGTGATGATCACTTACTGGCGGCCAACCAGAAGGCAAAGGGCGGGTAATTCTGTTGATAGGAGTATATAACGAAGCCGTAGAGACAGAGGAGCGCGAACTGAATCAATTGGATTTGAGTGATGTATCGCTTCCACCACAAGTACTTCTGGATGCGGGGCCCGAACGCCGCCAACGCGTAATACGAGTACATCACCACATGTACGGCCGAATTGAGCAAAGCGAACAGGGTGATCGCGGGCGAGCCCCACCGGTGCCACAGATACATCCAGCCCAGAATGGGCACCACCGTGTGGTGGTACAGATGCAACGGCGTTATCTGCGTGTACTTCTTGCGCAACACGAAGAACACGGTGTCCAATAGGTCCAGAAATTTGGTCAACCAGTAGAGGTAGAACGACCAGATGTAGCCCATCGTACGCTCCGAGCGGTCGTGACCGTCGGGCCACTTAAAGTTGGCCAATCCTCGGCCGTAGTCCAGCCACAGCAGCGATTGGAAGAAGAAGTAATAGTTGATGGCCACCATTGCCGTGTTGTAGGCCAACATCGGCAGCCGCAGCTGATACGGGTCCCTGTGTTTCATCATACGGGGCCCCACTTTGCGCACAAACAGCAGGTATAGGCTCATCACGAAGATCATAGCCCACGGGCCCTCACGTATGAGCGGCAAACCGTTGGTCCGCTGGTCGCCAAAGTCCTGCCAATACTGTTGCAGATAATAGCGGAGACCACCGCTCGATCGCATCGACTCACCGCTCACTTTATAAGGCGATGACATTGTTTTTCGGGGGGCGACGACTACAGGGGGTGTCGCCACTGACCGCCACCACACACTCCGCAACCGCACTCACACTCTCTTTCACACACACCGTCTCTCCGACACCGACTCCTCTCCAATACCGATATGTGTAACACCTGTTAAGAGACAAACAGACATACAATTGCTTTTTACTCAACATAAATGTTTTTAATGACAATTATAATGAAATTTTTCAAAACTTTTTTTTGTGAATAAAACTGTATTTTGTTTGCTATCGTAAAAGAGACACACATTTTGTGTGCGAAATGAATTGTTTGGCAAAGTTTTGATCAAAACATTTTTACATACAATTAGTCGTTAGTTTAGAATATTATTATTATTTTTTCTCTTCACTAAAAAACTATTCAATTTATTATTACATTTATTAATCATATTATTATTATTATTAAATATTACGGTTATTATCGTTAATGAGAAAAAACTCTTTTCAATACACGTTTAAAATGATTTTCAAAATAAAAATTCAATTCAATTCGCTATTCATTCATACGGACTATCAGTATATCAAATGTATACATGACTTACCTTTTTTATTAGTGAAGACAATACTTGTATTACTTATTATAGTATTATTATTATTACAACAATATATTGTTGTGTTGTTTTAGCGGCTGTTTCTCTCTCTCTCCTGTCGACAGTCAACAGGTATTTATGTCACCGAAAAAAAACAGGCAAACAGTGAATGTGTGTCTGAAAAAAGTATTGTGTGTTTTATTTGTATGGGTTTTTGGTTTCAATAAAATAAAACTGTATTTCCTAACAGTCTGTGCGAAACCACACAACACAACAGTCTATTGGAAACACGAATCCTTCAATACTTCCGATTCTATGCTATGCCAGAGAGTGAGAGACATAAACTTACCACTCGTTTAAATTGTTTGAATTTTATTATTAATGCGAAATTAATTTTATAAATTATTTACTCGTTTTAATTATTAATTTTGTCACTTAATTATATAATTTTTTTTATAGCGTTTGGTTTATTGGACTCACAAATGAATGAAATACTGTATTGACAATAACTTTATGGCAGAGAAAAACTTTTCAATAAATTTTTTTCATACAATTTGTGAGACAAATATGTATTAATAAACAAAAATATGTTTCGTTTATTTCTCAATCAATTGTTGTTTAGGTATAAGACACCCGTGTTTTTGATTGAGAGCCGCGAAACCTATGCTATAAATGGGTGGAAAACCAATTGATAATTACTTGACATTAAAAAACACAACAACAAAATAATTTGCGTTTACTTTTGTATATATTCAAGAGTGTCGTGAAATTGTTTGCGAAGGAAGTCCTAAACATATTATTTATGCTGTTTTTTGCAATAAAAATACATATGCAGTATATTTCACAGACCACTCTACATATACCTGTCCTATACCTGCATATGTGTATTGTATAACAGCCAAAGTCTAAGCCTTTCACGCATTAATATGTAATTAAAATTTTGAAGCATTTTTTTTACTTTTCTCTTTCATTCAAATCTAGCCTAAATTTGTTGAACCGTCTGATAGATAGTGG